GCTTGCCCAAGGTCATCCAGCCAGGTGCAAGTGGAGGAGTGGGGAATCAAACCTGGTTCTCCAGATTAGAGTCCTGCCGCTCTTAACCACTACACCAACCTGGCTCAAACTTTCTTCTGTTGCTTCAGACCAACACGGCCACTCACCTGAAGCAGCTAGCCATGTTAGGCCGAAGCCAATCGAGATGTGACTGGCTGTGCAGATTTTTTTTGAAAACATTGCTTCGGTATCAGCGGCCGCCAACCGCACAGGGACCTGCGCTGTCCCAACCATTCCGTCGCTCCACCTCCTCTGGCAGCCATCTCCTGCCTGTGCACACACCACACTGTGTCGGAATTCCAAATGTGCCCACAGGCTCAAAAAAGGTTTGGGACCCCTGCCAAGCAGCGGGCAACCCCAGCTTTGCCCCCCAGCGATTCATTGGTTATCCTCCCGTTTTCCTCTTGATTCCTTCTCACTTGCTTTTTTAGCTCTGCCCTGGCATGCGTTCCTCCCCTCCCTTTCGCTCTGCCGGCTAAATTGTGCCTGTCCCTTTAAATCTTTATTCCCGTCCCAAGAATCTTTGGCCGCAAACTCCTAGTTTATTTCATGGTTGCCCGGCAATAGCTTTTCTCCTGCTACTGTATGCTGCTCCCTCTCTCAGGCTCCGCATACGCCGAGTATTTGTCTCCACACCTGGTATTTTTAGCTGCCAGATGTTGCAGTCAGAACATGAAGAACCAAAAAGAAGAAGAGAAGAGGAGATTGGATTTATACTGGGCCCTTCACCCAGAGTCTCAGAGCGACTTATGATCTCCTTTCCCTTCCCCTCCCCACAACAGACACCCTGTGAGGCAGGTGGGGCTGAGAGAGCTCTTACCTGAACTGTCCTTATTTATTTATTTATTAAGATTTATACCCCACCCTCCCCGCAGAGCGGGCTCAGGGCGGCTTACAAGGGGCAAAGCCCATATAAAACAGATAAAAGCAATAAAACATGAATAACAATTAATAAAAATTCCTATGTCCTTGAGAGAACAGCTCTGACAGAACTATGGCTTGCCCAAGGTCATCCAGCAGCTGCTTGTGCAGGAGTGGGGAATCAAACCCGGTTCTCCCAGATTGGAGTCTGATGTTAATTTCAGTCAGTGTAAAACATCGATATATATATAAATAATGCACATGATACAAAAATGCAAGTATTTATTACAAATTGGCTCAGAAACAACTATAGGCCCAAATATAGCCTC